GTTTTATGGCAGAGAAACTTCTCAGAGTAAGAAAGAAAGAAGAAGATAGATAGATAGATAGATAGGTAACTAAATAGAAAGAGAGAGAGAGAGAGAGAGAGAGAGAGAGAGAGAGAGAAAGAGAGAGAGAGAAAGAGAGAACGAAATATAATGAGAGAAAGAAAGAAAGAGATAAAGTGAAAGAATGAGAGAAAGAGAACGATAACAAGAGAGAGAGAGAGAGAGAGAGAGAGAGAGAGAGAGAGAGAGAGAGAGAGAGAGAGAGAGAGAGAGAGAGAGAGAGAGAGAGAACGATAAAAAGAGATAAAGAGAGAGAGAAAGAGAGGGAGAATGAAGTTTTCTCCTTGTAAGATCACGATCAATGATCTAGTAAAAGAGTGAGAGAGAGAGAGAGAGAGAGAGAAATACTGTCTGTTAGATCGAAGATTCAAGTAGTTTCTTTGGTTAGTAACCATCGAAGAGAAGATTAACTAACGTCTAAGAAGTAAGGATTCCGTCTTTGGAACTCCGATCATGCAGTTCGCATAACTCGACCAAACGCGATCTTCACAAGGATATAAATCATAATTGAGTCTCCTCCGGTGTGTAATGGGTTATGTCGGTTATCACTCGAGTCGTTTCAATCGAAATCGTTTTTCAATCTTTCATATTTCATCTTTCATCTTTCATCTTTCATTTTTTTCTTTTTTCCATTTCCACTTTTATTGGATTTATTTAATAGAAACGAAAGCACAAAAAAAATTATATGAAAATAAAAGGAAGATAGTTCTTCTTCTTCTTCTTCTCCTTCTTCTTCGTTCTTGTTTTGCTTTTATCCCTTTTTTCTGTCTCTTTTCTTTTTCTTTTTTGTTTTTTTTTTTTTTTTTTTTTTTTTGAATTTTGAATTTTTATCTTTTCTCTTTTCGAACGCGTTGATCTTTCTGATTTTCAATTGAAGAGAATTTATTAAAGGGGAAATTAACGCGATCAAGAAAGATTTCTTTTCTTTTTTCTTTTTTTTCTTTTTTATACTCGATAATATCAATATTATCTACAAATGAAAAATTTCATAATGAACAATAATCATAATAATAATCATAATAATCCTAATAATAATAATAATAATAATAATCATAATAATCCTAATAATAATAATAATAATAATAATCATAATAATCCTAATAATAATAATAATAATAATAATAATAATAATAATAATAATAATTGTAATTAATCTTATGATATTACGCAATTAACGCGTAATATTCATTGAATTGTAATTTAACGCGTAATAATCATTAATGACGCTTTATTGTCATGCTATTTGTGATAAATTTTATTGATATTTTATATCGTTGACATTTCCTTTTCTTTCTCTTTTTTCTTTTTTTTATACTCGATAATATCAATATTATCTACAAATGAAAAATTTCATAATGAACGATAATCATAATAATAATAATAATAATAATAATAATAATAATAATAATAATAATAATAATAATAATCCTAATAATAATAATAATAATAATAATAATAATAATAATAATCATAATAATCCTAATAATAATAATAATAATAATAATAATAATAATAATAATAATAATTGTAATTAATCTTATGATATTACGCAATTAACGCGTAATAGTCATTCAATTGTAATTTAACGCGTAATAATCATTTATGACGCGTTATTGTCATATTATTTGTGATAAATTTTATTGATATTTTATATCGTTGACATTTCCTTTTCTTTCTCTTTTTTCTTTTTTTTATACTCGATAATATCAATATTATCTATAAATGAAAAATTTCATAATGAACGATAATCATAATAATAATGATAATAATCATAACAATAATAATAATAATAATAATAATAATAATTGTAATTAATCTTATGATATTACGCAATTAACGCGTAATAGTCATTCAATTGTAATTTAACGCGTAATAATCATTTATGACGCGTTATTGTCATATTATTTGTGATAAATTTTATTGATATTTTATATCGTTGACATTTCCTTTTCTTTCTCTTTTTTCTTTTTTTTATACTCGATAATATCAATATTATCTACAAATGAAAAATTTCATAATGAACGATAATCATAATAATAATAATAATAATCATAATAATAATAATAATAATAATAATAATAATAATAATAATGATAATAATAATAATAATAATAATAATAATTTTAATTAATCTTATAATATATATTTATTAACGACGATAATATATTTTCTTCTATCTTATCAATGTGAATGATGTTATCTCGGTTAAAAGATATCAGTTAATATTGGTGACAGTTTAGGACATCCCATGGTAAGGATCAACGTTTCGTGTCGAGCTCAACGTCTTACGAAATTACGATCTTCTTAAAATCTTTCGTAGAATGACATTTATTCGGTATCTAAGATAAGCTTCTTATCTCTTATGTACTGCTTCGTTATTAAAACTTTGTATTTTAACGTTGCCATTTTATCGATTTAAATAATACATCTCGTCAACTTCCACCATTTTATTTTTTATTTTTTATTTTTTATTTTTCATTTTCATTTTTATTTTCACTGTTATTTTCCATTTCTACGT